ACAATCTCCATCAAGGCCCAAAGAAATGATTTGGCTTCCAGTTCTCCCTTCTTCACTGCCCTAGTGCCGTGCATCACCTTTTCTCGAGTTACACACAGCTCTTCAAAGGCACCAACACACCATGTGAACACTGAGAACACAGCACAGGCTGTCAGCCGGGGCCTGGCCAGGTCTGTCAGAAGCAAGGTTGAAACAATGGTTTATGGATAGAGTGGATGGGTGTGGGTAAGCAAGCCGAGCCTCTGTTGCTCTATTCTGTGAATGACTGGTGTCCGCTCAAACACTAAGCTCCTTGCATCTTATACACAGCATATCTCTGACCTCTTATCTCTACTTACTACAAAGAGACCAGCTGTATAGCAGCCTAAATCAAATAAACACTGGACAGTGATTCTTTAAAAAACAAAAATCAATCTAAATTAGTCAGGTATGTTAAGTATGTTGTCCGAATGTTCTGAGGTGGTTTCAAATACCAACCCCACACTCCTCAATCATATCCTGCCCACAATCACTTGGAATATAAGTGGCAAAACAAAAAGACCACACTAATATAAGTGGCGTAACAAAAAGACAGAAGAGTGGAAGAAATCACTATGAAGGCTTTCTCTGGGATAAAACGCACATCTTTTAGCCACAGAAACACACATAAGACCCTGAGTACACATACTCTTCAAACCGTCAGTCCTTTAACACCATTAAGTAAAGGCTGTTTTTAAAGTATCTGTAGGCCATGTAGTTCAGGGACCCACATGGAACACAAATACACAGTACAGGAAAACTTCACCCCGGAAATGGAGGTGCTAGGAGGAGAGGACGGGGGGAGAGTCTTAAGCATTTTGTACACATAGGAAAGAGAGGAAGGACCTTGCACTGCTGGACTCTCCACTCCTACTGCACAGAAAGGAGAGATCTGTATACTATCAGAGGGCGCTCAGATCTTGCTTTCGCCACTTTTATTCCAAGTGATTGTGGGCAGGATATGATTGAGGAGTGTGGGATTGGTATTTGAAACCACCTCAGAACATTCGGACAACATAAATCCATAAATCCAAAAAAATAGAAACATCTAAGCCTGACTAAAAGAGTATAACCACACACCTTGACCCCAAGAAAGCCGTATGTTAAAGGCCTTTGGCCTTTAACACGCTGATAGAAATGGACTTAACAAGAGTACCTGGGCCTATTTGTGACACATTTTAATCTTTTAAAAGCCAGATCTGACAACTGGAACACCATTTTTCAGTGTTACTTGGAGGGCTTTTTGTACCTGTTTACCAAGTTTTAGGCAAAGCAGAGTCAAAAACACACAAATCACTATAATACTGATGGCAACATAGGTTGAAACAGCTAAAGGGCATTGTAACAAATATCTCACAAGTCTTCTACACGTACATGGAAGGCCCTTAACCAAGAATTTTCTATTCTATAAATCTAGTCTAAGAAATAGTCAAGAATGTAATTAAAGCCAGGCATGGTAGCACATGCCTGTAATCCCAGCACTTAGGGAGGCTGAGGCAGAAGAATCACTGCAAGTTCAAGGCCAGCGTAGAATATACAGCAAAACTCTGCTTCAGAAAACTAAAACAAGAAAAGAATCCAAATAAAGATTAACAAACAAGTACACTCATGATAGAATTACTTAGACTAGGAAAATTTTAGAATTATAATTTCTAAAGCTGGGCATGGTGGCTCACGCCTGTAATCCCAGCACTCGGGAGGCTGAGGCAGGAGGATTGTTGTGAGGTTGAGACCAGCCTGGACTACAAACTGAGCTCAAGGCCTGCCCAAACTGCATAGAAACCCTGTCTCAAAAAAGACACACACACAAAAAAAGAATTATAATTTCTAGGAATAAGGAAATGCATTTTCAAGTAGGATATGTATCACAATGACTATTCTTGACTCTCAACTTGATTGGCTTATGTGACACCTAGGAGATTAATGAAGTACATTTCTGAGTGTACACAGGTGATCAAGGAGGCATGGCCTTGAAACTATATCTGTCCCCTGGCCCTTTCCTCTCTGGTTCCTTCCCTGGCACTCTGCTTCCTGCCTACCATGAATAAGTAGCTTCCTCCCCCATGCTGTTCACCATGGTGTTTCTGCCTGGGGGCCAGCCAACCATGAACTGAAACCTCTGAAACCATGAGCCAAAATATACCTTTTATCCTTTAAATTGTATATGTTGAGTACTTTGTCCCAATACTGTATAAGATGACCAATATGATGGAATATTATGAAGTCACTGAAATTAGGATGCAGATATGATTTCATCAACATGGAAAGATAGTTATGATGTAATGCTAGTCTGAAACACATTTTTTTTTTTTGGTACCAGGGATCGAACTCATGACCTTGAGCTTGCCAGGGCAAGCAATTATGCTGCTAAGCTAAACCCTTGGCTCAAGTACATTTTTATTGGGCATCTACTATACAATGAATTGAGAAAATATAGTACTTACCCTCATAAAACTTATAAATCATAAAACTTATAGGGAAATCAGATATTGAGGAAGGTTTAAGATATGAAAAAGCATAAAGTGCATTGAGAGTAAGTAAAAAAGGGATTTAACCCAGTCCAGAGGAGTCACAGAAGAACCTCTGGAGAAAATGATGCTTAAGAGGTAATGAGAGGTGAATATGCGTAAGGCAAGTAAAGAGACAAACTGGAAAAGCATCCTAGAAAAAGGAATGGCAATTTTTAAAAATATCCATATCAAAAAAGTCAATTCAGCTAGATACATGAAATGAACTCATTTATCTTGAAAAATATGTTTAGAACATGTATATGCTTATAAATACAAAGGCTTAAAGGACATAAGACATACATTTACACAGATGTTGTAGTACATCTTTTTAACTTTGCTCACATTTTCTGATTATTTTTTCTGTAATCAATATATATATAGCATTAAAATGTGTGATATTCCACCACAAATGTATGGAAAGTGGGTGGAAAGATGAACGAAAGAATGGAAGAATGGATGGTAACCAGATGGAAGGCTGGAGGTGAACATTACACTCCCCAGAATCTATATATTACATTGCTTCTTTCCTCCCTTCTAATACTAAAGCCCAAGATCTGTTCCAGAAACATATTTTCTTCTAATTTCTAAAATCACTTTATTTTTCTAAGGCCACTCCACTATCCCAGTTCACTATAATTACAAACAGTTTCTCTCTCAATATTGGACTTTCCAAACCACAAAGAGTGACTGGAAGAGCTATTTATTGAAGTTGTAACTAAATAACTATCTAATTTTTTTAAAAATTAGAGATGGATGAAGGTATCTTGTACTTTGAGTAACTAAAGATAACAGTATGCAATGTACTAACCATTATCCTTCAATTATCTTGTTTTGAAATTTTTTTCTCTATAAGATAAAGAAAAATAGAGATGGATAGAGGAAAGTGAGTGAAAGGAAATAAAATCCTAGCAACTAGAAAGAGACCGCTGTAAAGGAATGTGGCTCAAAATTTCCAGGTAGTGAGCTCAGCTGGTTTTCCAAGCTACCATGTGAAATTCCTGGCTCACGGCTCAAAGCAACGAAGAGTGCTTGGTCCACTTCAGCAGAGGTACAACTCCAAATTGAGACCAGCTCCTTCACATGAGATAGGGGAGACACATGTACAAGGAACTCTCTTAGCACAAGTGCTACGGTTTTCCCAACAAGAATAACTGCCCGGTTGTGTGTCAAATTAGGAAAAGAGAATGAATTCAGCAAAAATATTCTACATTTATCATTCTTAGCAAACCCATGTTTCAGGATTCATTTGCCACCTTCTGTGGTGGGCACTGATGATTTAACATTGACAAGACGTGCTTTCCACATGCCCAAAGCTTGACACTTATTTAAAAAAATATTTGAGTCCTATAACATACCCAGGCGCTCGAGATTAGTACCAAACAATGATTTAACAAGGTCCTATCTTCATGGGCCTTATATTCTAGTGAGGATAGGTTAAAAAAAAAATCTTTTTAAATACTAAGATGACTATCAGACAGTTTATAAGTGTTATGAAAAAAAGTCTACTTATAGGCTAAATAGATAGGTGTGGAACTATGGTTAGGATAGTCAGAGGAGCCTTCTCTATAGAGACACTTGCAAGATAAAAGCAGCTACTTATGCAGCTACCAGGGAATGGGCTTTGCCAACAAACCAGAATGCAGAGTGCTGATTGCCACACTCAGAGCAGGCACAGGGAACTTGGCAAGCATGTGGTAGGCACACTGACCCAGTCTGGTGAGGCCTGCAAACTGAGATGGCCTTCTTCTGTTAGCAGTGATTTATAAGGCATTGTACCTGACTCAGAAGGGGTTCTCTGATAAATTAGAAACAGGAAGCTCAGCCTATTGGTTCCAGTGAATTCAGTCCCATTGTAGCATTATATGAAATAGACAAGGCTATCCCTCTTGTAGGCAGAGGGATGCCCAGAAATAAAGGGACCCCTGGTACTGTGCCAAAATCCACATGACTATAAAGGCTGGATAAGGCCCATGGCCTCCTCCTGAAAGGAAGGGATAGAAAAGAACAAGATGTAAGCCTTGTAGAACAGCAAAACACTTGGCCAGGTGTCAAGTGTTCAAGACCCACTCACGACCCACTCACTACCTGACCTTGAGAAAGACCCTTTCCTTCTCCCACCCTCAGTGTCCCCCATCTGCAAAATGAAAAATCAGAAAGCCTGGCAATGATCCCAGGAATCTTCATTGTTAATGAGCACCCCCACTGATTATGATGCATGCTAAAGCTTGAGAATGGATAGATTATGTGAGTCTCCTCTTCTTCCCTTGAAGCGGACAAGGACGGAGTCATATCCAACTGGCCTGTCTGAGACTTTGGCTCCATCAAGATCTCCATGGTGCCAAGCTAAGAGATGCTCTCAAGGTAGGATTTATAACCTTCTCTTTCTGTGCTCCCGGCATGCTACCACCCTCTCTATTCTCCCAGAGGAATGGCAGCCCCGCACCCGAGGGTACTGTGTGTCCCTCACCGTACCTGTGAACATCGCACAGAAGTAAGGGCTGCAGGCTGCCAGGACCACACGGTGGGCTTCTATCTCCACATCTTCTGCCACAATCATCACGTCACACAACAGCTGCTTACTGTAAGGGGACAGGATGGCGACAGAATGGTCACAGCATGGACACCTATTCCCATCATCCAAAGCTATTTCTGTTGCCTACCCAGATTTTATACTATCACTATATAAGACTGTCTTGTAGGCTATCTGATGTAGGCAGGAGGATGTATTCATTGACTTTTCCAAGTTCTGATATGCCTTCTACTCATGCTTTTATAAGGCGTGAACAGGAGTCCAACTATGCTAAGACTGTAAGTTCAAGGATGCTTTGATTGTCTTCACCTCTCTGCTCTGCAATTCCACCAGCTCTGACTGAGAAATATTGGACAGTGGTTAGGGAACAGTAGCAACAACTTGGGGCTGTCAGTTGAATGACTGAATGAATGCCAAGGAACATGGGCATACCTGAGTTGTACCACCAGCAAGACCAAGTACTACTAATTCTTCAAGGGTTCCACAGCAGTATTAGGGTTTAGATCAAGAATGTTTCCCCAAAGGCCTCATGTGTACAAAGGTGGCACTTTGGAAAGGTGATTGAATCACAGAGGTGACACAACTGACTTGTTGTTAAAGGTAGAGTCTATGCACAAGAGGCAGGTCACTGAGGATGTGACATGGAAGGGGGCATCTCTCTTCCTGGTTTCTCCTTTCTCTCCACTTCCTGGCTGCCATAACATAAGCAGCTTCCCTTCACCCAAGCCCTTTCACTGTAACTTCTTGCCTTGGAACCAGCCAACTATGGACTGGAAACTCTAAACCCTGAGCCAAAATAAACCTCTCCTCCTTTACATTGTGAGTGTTAGGCCTTTTTTACCAGCAAGGAGAAAAGTGACTATGACACACTGCATGTGCAATGCTGATAAGAAGTCAGAGTACCAACAGTACTCTCCTTCCACCTAGACCTTACATAATCACCAAGAAGACTCTATCAGTACACACAGTACTCCCCGAATGCCCTGATCAAATTCCTATCATTAAGAATACTGTAACTTATTTTTTATGATTGTCACTCCATCACACTATAAACTTGGTAAAGGAATTGTCCTGTTTACCTTTGTATCCTAGACTCCTGGCTTCATGCCTAACACACAGTAGACCTTCATTTTTTCTGAACAAATGAATAAATAAAAGCGGGTCAACTACATTTAGAGACAGAATGGATATCTGATGACTTCAGAGATTGAGAGGTTGCCGCAAATCTCTGTCAATACAGGAATTGTTCTCTTATCATTCTTATTAATATAAAAACAGTTATGAATTATAGATGCCAGGTACTGTTCTAAGCACTTTTTGCATATATATAATTTCATTTAATTCTGTCTACAACCCCAAAGAGGGTTAATTATTATGCCAGATATAAAAATGAGGAAACTGAGTCTCAGAGAAGTTTGGTAACTTTCTCAAGTTCACAGGCAAAGGAAACATGGGAAAGTTGAGCCAGCATTTGAACAGATGTAGCTTAAACTCAGAGCCCAGTGAATGGTTCCCTGCTTACTAGTACCTACTTTGGATTAAAACATGCAAACACATTGCAAGTAAGATTCACTGGTAGTGACTCAAAAAATCTGAGGTTATTTCTGGGCTCTATCTGAGGCTTCAGAACAAGTTAAGAAGTCTTCCATGATTGAAAGATGGAAAACAAGCTACATATAATATTTGCCATCTCTGGTAAAGCATATTAAGCCACTATGAACTACTAAAGCATTAGTTCAAGTTCACTTACAGAAATAGAATCATAAGTATGGCATGAAAAACCCCCTGTTGCAAATGCCCTTGAAGATCGTCCAGTCTATGAAACCCAGAGAAGTGAAGAGACGCCCAGAGCCACGGCACCTAAATCTTGAACCAGCTCTCTTGACTCCATATACAGTCTAGTGCTTTTTCCACTGTACCACAAAGCCCCACTTTAAATGGGAAGACAGAAGACAGTTTAGCACCAACAGATAAAGGTGGTCAGGAAATGTTCAGCATGTGGACTGAAGTATGAGTGAGGGGGCTGCTGGAAAGAGTAAGACCTTTGACACAAAAAGCCAAAACCAAGAGGTTGGGCACTGACAGCAGACCCCACACAGCAACTTTATCAGAATAACCAGTTCAAACAAGCATAGAACGGCCTCTGCCCTACTGGGTTATAAGAACATGGACAAACAGGCTCACTATGTTTTCTAACCTGTCTTAGCTGCCTCTGGGACTCAAACCATGGAGATCGAATGGGATGGAGGAAGCCACCTAAGCTCTGGTCAAAGTTATTATCAAAATGGATTCTCAAAAGAATAAACTCACCTTGAACATTTTAACTTCTAGTCAAGATTTTAAAGAGAAAATGGAGTTATCACTGCTGTTTAAGAATAATCAATAATATGTCTGGTAAGCAACATTTGAATGATGGAATTGTTAACAAAGCTACACAAATTCTCAATGCTAGGAGTAAACAAGCAAATGTCAGAGAAGGATATCTTGCACAAACTCAAGGAGGTGGATAATTCCTGAGTAAATGGGAAACAGACAAGAAGGAATAAAGATAGCAAATTCAATTAAGCAAACAAAGGAGAGAGGTTCTGATAGGCAAGCAGTAGATCTCAATGCCAGAAAAATTCTAACCTGGGAAAATGTATGACACCTAAGCTTATTGTCAATTTGATTGGATTAAGGAAGGTGACAGGAACAGAGAGGCACAATACTTATCAGTGGAATAATTTAACAGCAGAACGTGCAGTTAGGAGGTGGGGCCCTGGGGGCAAGCTTTTGGAAGTATATTTCTCTCAGACACTTTCTCCTTCTCTGCTTCCTGGCCACCATGAACTAAGTATCTTTGCTCTGCTATGATGTTTCTGCCTTGCAGTTGAACTAAAACCTCTGAGACTGTGACCCAAATAAACCTCTCCTCCCTTAAGTCACAGGTATTAGATCTGTTGTCCAGGAATAGGAAATCTAATACAATGGGTATGCCAAAAACTCAAAGTAAGCTTTCCCTGAGGGTGGGCAGGCCTGTCTGCACACTGCAGTTATCCCTATGTCTCTACCTTACATGGAAAGAGGCAGCTTCAAAGCCTGTAGGGCTCAGAAGAATTCCTACTCAACCAATCAGAGGGAGTGGGAGATTCTTTCAAAGCTATGATACTACTCCAAAGCACAATCTTGAAGAGAAAAAAGCAGTACTATACTTTTTTTCATTTATGGAACAGCACAGTTTAGGTATTAGAAATGTGCTCAGGCACTGGAATAAAAATGAATATACTGTTTATTTTGTTAGTGAGTATATAATATCCCCCAAGTGTTACAGAATTGAGAGATATTATAAATAAGATAAGGCATCATGCTAATCATCATATTCAGCAAATGTTAGCTTATTTCTTTTCTTTTTTCCCACAAAACATTTCCTGAAGATTAGAGGTTAAGTATTAGACATGTTCAGTTTGAGCCGCCTTTTAGACAGCTAAGTGGGGTTATCAAGTGGACAAGTGGACAGACACATGGGTCCAGAGGTCAGAGGCAGGAGATGGATGAAATGATGAGGGGGCTGGGCATAGTGGTGCACAACTGTTCTATGAGATACTCAGAAAGATGAGGCAGGAAGATTACAAATTCAAGGCCAACCTAGGCAATGATATTCTGTCTCTCATTTTAAAACAGAGAAGAGAATGAACCAACAAAATATAGATGGTACACCACATAGAGGGTCTAAAGATATCTATACAGATCAACAGAATATAATTGAGACTCTGGAAACAAATATTTATATTTATGTCAATTGATTTTTTTATAAGTGTGCTAAGATGACTAAAATGGGAAAGAATAACTTTTTCAACCAATGCTGGGACAACCGGATATCAATGTGAAAGAACCAAGTTGGATCCCCACCTCACACTATACATAAAAATTAACTCAAAATAAATTCAAGTCCTAAATGTAAGAGCTAGCTAGAGCTATAATGTTCCTGGAAGAAAACACAGGTGTAAAACTTCATGACTTCAGATAAGGTGATGGCTTCTTAGTTATGACACCAAAAGTACAAACAACAACAACAACAAAAAGGTGAGTTAGATATCCAAATTTATAACGTTTGTGCTTCCGAGTATATCATCAGGAAAGTAAAAAGCCAATCCAGAGAATGCGAAAATTTTCTTGTTAAGTCATCTATCTGAATTGAGCTTGTATGTAAAGTTATAAAAAGAACTCAAACTCTTATGACTCTAATAACCCAATTTTGGAGAACTGGCAGATTGGAGAATGAGGATTAGAAGTTAGCCTGGGCAACTTAGCAATACTTAGTGAGACCTCTTGGTTAACATGTATTAAAGAGGAACTGAAGAAGTTGGAATGTTAATATACTGCTGATGAAAATGTAGAGTACAGCTGCTTTGGAAAGCAGTCTGGAAGTGCCTCCAAAGATTACAAAGTTGCGTTGAACAACTGCTAACCATTGATCCAAAAAATGAAAACATACACCAAAAGGTACACCTGAATGCTGATAGTAGCATTATTTATTATAGCTAAGACTCAAGTTCGCCATATCTAAATAATTAAATATTATTTATCAATAAAAAGGAATGAAGTGCTGAGATATAATATGGATGAACCTTAAAACATCAAGCTAGGTTAAAGACGGCAAACACAAAAGACCACATATTGTATGATTCAAAAATAGACAAATCTATGGAGATAAAAAAAAAAAAAGTAGTTGTTTCCCGGTTCTAGAAAAGAATGGGAAAAAAGGCAGGGGAAGAAGTAGAAAGGGTGAGCGCTAAAGTACACAGTGAGTGATGAAAGTAAAATTGTAGATACCTAACTGTATTTTAAAAGTCATTAAATTTTGTTTTAAATAGGTGAATTTATATAGTACATTGATTATATTTTTATAAAGATGTTCCCAACAAAAGGGAAGTAGAAAGCAATGTGCTTAGATAACTTATTACTAGTTTTAAAAGCATAATGACAATCCACCAAAAAATATATATATATATACATGTATATATATATACACGTATATATATATACATATATATATACATATACATATATATATGGCGAGAAAAAGAGAGAGAAATTGGGAGAGAACTGTTTGCAATGGTGAAATGAGAGGTTAAGACTATCAAGGGGCCAGAGATACAGCTCAGCTGTAAAGCATATGCTTAGCATGTACCAGGCCCTGGGTTCCCAGGCCCCAAAGAGGAAAAAACACTGTTCAAACAAGATAAGTAAGTCTATGGTTTTAAATACTCATTGCATTCTTCATCCTTCATGCTCTCTTCTTTTCAGACCTGGTCAGGGTGTCCTATTCTGAAAACAATTTCATCCTCTCTATTGGGATGTCAGGAGCCAAAAAGTCACTGAGGTTCTCCTGCCCAGGAGCAACACTGTCCGGCCAGAGCAGAGTGATGAAATGCCAAAGAAAAAGGAAAGCTGGACAGTTACCATGTCAACAGGCCATTCTCCTCCATGAGAGTAAAAAGAATAGGAGATTCATAAATTGCAAAGAACATGTACGCTTGAACTAAAATAGCTTAAAATTAAGGGAAGGGAATGGGAGAATAATGCAAGAGAAAATACAGGGCCACTGGAATATTACATGACATTTCATTAACTTAATCCTTATGTGGCAAAATACATGAAACCAGGTCTTCAACAAAACTAAGTATGCTCACCCTCTCTCTAGTTCTTAACCACTTATATACATCATAAAGTGTCAGTTCAGGTTTCTTTCCATCTGCCCCCACCTATTCCACTCCAGTTTTTTTTTTCAGTTTTCCATTTAGATACCTTGGAATTTGGTGGAATCTTTGAATACTGTAAGAATAAGAGCTTCACTGAGGGCAAGATTTTGATTCTCTTTTTCACTGACAAATTGCTACAACCTAGTGCAGCACTTACACCAACTGAACTGAACTATGATCATTATCATCATCATCATCATCATCTAACTAACAGAGAATATTCATGGTGTGTCACGGTCTTGCAGTAATACCTAAAGAATACTTATTATGTTACAGTTATGAAATAATAATTATTAGCTATGAAATAACTAATTCTACTTCTAAGAATACTATAGAAATAATTATCAATGTGCACAAATATTTAACACTAGTAATATATGGGCTCCCACTTTTCTAAGCACTTTTACTCATTAATCCACTTAACAATCAGCAAGACAGGTACTATTACTGGCCCCCTTTTATGCTATACAAAAGCAAGATGAGACAGACTCATTAACTTGCTCAGTCACACAACTGGTAAGAACTACAGCCAAGCTTTGAAACTAGAGTCTTGCTGTGACCACTATATTATACTATAACAAAGATAACCACCATAGGTATTTTTATATGAGGAATTAGGAAAACCTAGATATCCAACAAGTAACTGTTGTTTTAAAATCTACTTAATATTGAACAATGAGATAGAAAAATGTGTTCAACAAAATGTTAAGAAACAAAATTAGATGCATTTTTGTAAAAGGATATTCTCCAAAATGTTTAATGGTGTTAAAATTATAAATTATTTCTTCTTTATTTGTATTTTCTAAATGTTCCTCCATAAATATATTTCTTGCCAGACGTGGCAGCACATGGCTATAATCCCAGAACTCAGAAAGCTCAGGCAGGAGGATCTCTGCAAGTTCAAGGCCAGCTGAGACTACAAAGTGAGTTCAAAGCCAGCCTGAACTGTAGGAAAAAACCCTGTGTCAAAAAAGACAATAAATGAATAAATACATAAGGAAATAAAATTGCTTTACAAAAAAAATAAGTAAGATTGAAAAAGAACTCCATACCTAAACCTGAACTAAAATTTCCCAAATATACACAGATTATGGTCTATTTAACAAAAAAATAGAAAAAAGGAAAAAGAGATTATTCACTTAAATTTCAGCAAAGGGTTTTGTCTGATATTTAGAACAGTGTTTTCTAAAACGAGTTGCATCAAACAGTCTATACATAAAAAACTAAAGCGGACTGTATAGTCAAATATCTGTAGGAAAATAAACAAGTTTACTGTGGCACTTTTCAGAATATTTAGCACTCTATACAAACTATCAATCTCAGAGATGGTGTAATATATAGGATTTTTCAAATGCATTAGAAGCAACACGACTATTATAGTAGATTAAATCCAACTTAGAGCTTTGCGGGTGGGGGAGACACAAAATCCTAGTCACTTGTAACAAAAGCAATGAGGACTTAGGACATATTTTTTAAAAGATACTTAAGAAAATGAAGAGCTTAATAAGAGATAGTGGGGGTAGAGAACCCTGTATACATGTCTGTTTCCCAAGCTCTCCCTTTCAGTGCTCACTGAAATTGGCTGTACAGGATACAATCAGAAGAGAACTAGATTCCTGAATCAGACAAAGGACACAAGTCATACTCAAAGAACCTAAACAGGGAATTCCAATAATGCCTAAGAAACACAACACACATTTCCTGACAAAGGACCCATGCCCATAGGCACAAACATCATCCCTGGCTGATGACTAAGGCAGCTAGAGACAGAGCTTCGAGGAAATCTGGCAGGAAACCTAATAAAAATTGAGCAGTAGAACATAAGACAAACTTTAACTTTACCTTTAGTGCCAAAGACTGAGCCATGCACAAAGGAAAAATGAGAAAGCGCAGAATCAGATGGAACGTGTATTGAAAAGTAGTTCTATCTCTTAGTCAACAAAACACTTTTTGGGCCATTTTTTCTGCCTAGAAGGCATCTCCCTATCTCACAACCCATCAGGTCTTTAACTTTTATTTGTCCTTTAAAATTCAGTACAAGCATGGCCCCCCTTTAAGAAGTATTCTCCAAAGTTTATCCAACATACTTGCACCATTTAAGAAACAAGCTGTTATTCATCCTACCACATGTCGGACAGCTGATGGAGTCCTCCTTCAAACACCTCCTTGCACTATAGAAAGATTATTTCCTTTTTTAATTTTTATTTTTAGTACATATTTACAGTATATAATGATCACATTCATTGTGAGGAGCTAGTAGATGTACAGAACACATCTTAATTCTTTTTTCATCTCCTTCCCTTCCCTGCTTCCTTCTCCTTCCATGTCCCTCTCTTGGTCCCTCAAAAGATCTGTCTCCTACTACCTACACCTACCTTTTATTTTGCTGTATAGAAAGATTATTGATCAAATTACACTTCTGACTTAGTGTCCCACCAACTCCTCTCGAGGCCTACCTAGTGCCTGTGGACCTCACTGGTGAATGAGTCGAAGCACCCATGAAGGGCCAGGTTCTAGAGATAGAAATCACTCCAAAGTTACCCCTTCTCAGAGGGAGTTCATGAGCTACAGAGGAAACAAGGTGATAAACAAGTAGCCTTCACAACAGGATGACGAATGTAGTAAATGCATAATAGCAAGAGCAAAGGAAGCTTCTGTGTCTCTGGTAAGGAAGAGATTGTGTGCACAAAGAGATTGTGTGCACAGAAAAACACAGTCAGTGCCCTGAACCTGTCTTGCAACAGGCTTATCACACACGTGCACTAGTCTCACAAATAACCTGCATACCCTCACCATCCAGTTAGGAGTAAATGAGAGCATCTGCATTTCATTTCTTTCTTTAGAGTTAAACTGCATTTAAGGAGCTGGGAATTCTTCTGCTCAAGTGGCTATTTTACCAAGCTAAACTTAGCCCATGGGATAGGAGAGGGAGGCCATGGCATTCACCATCTTTCATCTGCAATTTTTTGTAGGTGCTGCAATCTTTCTATTATTGGTTTTCAAGCAGCTGGTGCAGTTAGAAATCAAGTTTATGAACAGACCAGCCATAACCACAAAGGAATTTTCCCCTGTGATTAATCACTAAAATGATAGGTGTTAAATAAATACAAAGGAAAGAGAGATTTCCGGCAAAGCTATTTTGCCTCAGAATTTAAAGGGAAAGACAAGTGACTGAGTGGGCAGGGAAGAGTCAGAATTCACTAGGTGGTGGTGTTCTGACTTCGTTCTCTCTCCCTGGTGCGGGTGCAGCTCGCTCTGCAAGTTTTGAAAAGGCACAGGCAAGATAGAAAAAGTACCTCCGCAGCTCATTCATGACCTTGAAGGCCTTCCCCATGTGGGCAGGGTTGATGGTGATTGTCTTCTGGTTCTTCTCATCATCTCCAGCCTGTGTCAGAGGCTGGGAGCTTGGCTTGACGCTGTGAATGGGAAGGAAAAGGGAGGGGAAACAGAGATCACATATTGGTACACAGTCATCTAGCTATCACAGATCCACATATAAACCCACACCAGAGGCATCTCTGTTAGCCTGATCTCCTACCACAGGCCTACCAGGCAAGGAAGTACCCCATGCAGGTATTTCTGCAGGATTTTCCAACGCAAAGTGCATTTCTGTAACAGAAGCCAGGTTCCAACCCAGTTTTTCTACAAAGTACTATGTGACTTTGTAGGAGGTTCTGATTCTCCATCGCCACCATCACCTCCAAAACCGAGGGAGACTATATACTCTTTATTTACTACACAAGGATGTTTGTTCAGTTAATATTTAAATGGAGGATACTGCATGCCAAGGCACTGTATTTAAATTTAAAGGAAATATAATAATGAAAGCACAGTCCCGGTCCTCACAAAGCTTAAAATTTAGCAGAGAAGAAAGCCAAGTAAACAGTCAAATATCATATCTTAAGTATTTTGATCCACTGAAGCTACAGAAGGATAGGGAATAGAAAACTATCATGGTGATACCAGGTTGAAGCAAAACTTCCTGGAGGCAGAAACCTGAAGGGTAGAAATTAGCCAAATAAAACAAAAGATGGAAAGGCAGAGGAAACAGTAAAAGAAAAAAAGGATAAAAAACAAAATATTTAAAAGTACTGGCAGTTCAGTAAAAACTATAAGAGAGCTCAGGAAGAGACTATGCTGGGGAGTTTGGCTCTTTTCCTGAAACAATGAGAAGAAATAAAAGACTCTGAAACAGAGAAGAGGGGCAGGAAGCAGATAAACAAATCTGTGCTTTAGAAAGATCATGTCATCTATGGGATAGAGAGCAGGGAGCAAGATTGAGAGTTTCTGAGAAACTGCAATTCTATAGAAAGACAAAGGATTCTTGTGGAAAAAAGGCTGCTGTGTGGACTGAGTGAACAGGTGATAACAAGCAAGAGTCACCCATCATCTCAACACCCTCTCCACTGAAATCAAGAGGAAAATCACTCTATCTCTGTGGGATGCAGACAGCTGCCCACCTGCTCCTGAACATGCCTTCTGAGGGTGGGGAGATAGGAAGGAGGAAACAAAAGAATGCACACGGAAAAGATATTCTTCCCACACTGGTAGAGAAATCATTAGTTAGCTGCAAAGTGAATTTCGGACCCTGGAGTTACCACTATGTGGACAAGACTAAGCTTCATTTTGCTAGAGGAAAACAGAACCTCCTCCCCTTGTATAGATTTGGGGACCCATAGTTTACTCCAAATCTGGGACACAGATGGTTGTCTCCTCCGACTTCCCCTGGTGGGCCTCTGTCCATGTTGACCACCTAGCCCTGCCAAGTGGATAGACAAAGGGCCTGCTATGACTAAGAGATGTTTCAAAGGCTCAGGAGTCTCTATAGATCTCATATTGAGATCTCACACTGTAACACTCTAACAGATTCCTCTTTTGAGTTTCTTGCATACTTTCAAATGTAATGCAAATGTAAGTCATGGATATCTAGACACTAGGACTATTTGCATTCAAGGAAATTAACTGAGCAGAAAGATAAATACCAAGAGATACAAAAAGAAAGATGATTAGAGCTCTGTGTTTAAGTAGCTAAAAGACAATTTCAAGCCAGAAAAAGTGGAGACAGAAGTACCCAGCAAAGATGAAAACTTCATGTAAGAAACCCCACATAATTTCTTTGCTAACTATTGCTCTTCTTTATTCCAAAACCAGAGAGATAAAAATTTCTATTTTCTGCTTCAAAACCGATAATAATTTTTACTTTCTAATGAGAGTTTAACATGGTTGCTTTTGACAAACTCATTTTATCTGATGTTGATTTCTATCGGAGGTGAAATAGAGATTTAATTTTTCCCACAAGTTCTATTTATTGATACTTCTTATTTTTCCTACTCATCTGTCCTACCACCATAGGTCATAAATTACATTTCAAAATGTACAAAGATCTATATTCGGACACTTAAATACCTTCCACTAGTTTGGATTCCATCTTTGTATGAGCAACACATTATTTCTGTAGGTTCAAAATCAGGGCTGTCATCTATCACATTAATTTCCCAATCCTATTATTATTCTTGAGATGTGTCATAACTCTGTACGTTTCTTTAGTGTTTCATGTAAATTTCCATTATCGGCTTGTCAGGTAACATAAAAAAAAAATCCTGATAGGAGTTTAATAGAAACTACACTGAACCTATAGGTCAATTTGGACAGAACCAGTGTCTTTTTTTATATAATTCCTTCCTATTCTTGAACACATGCTCTCTCCCCATTTATATAAGTCCTCTTTAATGTCACTCAAATCTTTGTACCTTTTTCATATGAACACATTATCTTTTTTTTTTTTTTTGGTACCAGAGATTGAACTCACGACCTCGTGTTTGCCAGGCAGGCGCTTACGCCGCTGAGCTAAATCCCCGGCCCTATGCTATCATTGTGCTACTTTACAATAGAAATTAAATCTTAAGTATATTTTATTATAAAACACAATATTTCTGGAAGTTGATCCTATAACCAGCCACTTTTATTTCCATGGGCAATTTCTATTTGTCCATAGAGTCAATCAGGTGTTCTATGCAGACATAACATTACCTGAATATAATGCCAAAGTAAGCACTGTACCACTAAGATACACCCCAGCTAAACAGTTAGAGGTTCTTCTCTCCTTTCCTTTATTTTTTGAAGGAAATTTTTCAGTGGCCCAGAAGGTCATACAATATCAAACTAAAAGGGTGATAGCGATTACTCTTGTCATGTTCCTAACTTTACAAATATCTCCAATGTTTCCTCATTGTATATATCTGCTGTATAATTTTTGTTATAGATGCAGTTTATCAGGTTAAGAAAATTCTCTTCTATTTTTATTCAGTTATTTAGTCATACAGATATACTGAATTTTATCTAAGTTTTATATATTTAATGAGATAATGATGTACAGTTGCTTTTCTCTAAAGTTTTAATACAGTGAATAACAACTTTTCTAATACTAAACCATACTTACATTCCTGAAATAAATTCAGAAAGTGTAAAATATTGTATAACTATTTATTATAAATACTATCTTCAAACTGTGGAAAGGCATAAAAGCCATAATGAGAAAACATAAATTTGCTACAACTAAAGAACCATTGAAGGTTTTTGAGAGGAAACTAACAAGACTAGAATTTAGAAAAAGCCTAGAGGACAGGTATTATTGGCTGTGTCTCACAGTTATGGAACAGGTGTAGACCAGTTAGAGCCATAGTGGGAATGCTGATGATGATCCAGTGTGGCTGATGAATAGGAAGGCTCATTTTTCCTGCTGTGTTGTTCTTTGCACTTTTTAGTCTTCCAAGATGGCCCAATAATTAATGTATGTCCCTGTTAATATAATGTTGTATTTACCAAAAGGTCTCAAACACATATTGCCTATTATCAGAGGCTTAAAATCCAGTAAAATGTAATTCAAACTAGAGCCCCTCTGAAGAGCAAGTAACATGCTGATGACAACAGGGTTAGCCAGGAAAAAGTACAATGGTTTTTTCCCTTGCTCTTAACTCTGTGAAGACACAAGAAGTCTGAAGTGGATTCTGGGCCCTTGGTTTCTGGAAGGTACAAGTTTCTTAACAACCTATTAACTTTACAGAGAACAGGACACTCTTAAATAGGTGTAAGGGTTTTAAGCAGTTAAGAATCTCATATAAGATCAAATAAATAAGAAAAAGCAGTGGTGGGATGTGAGTTCAGATCTCCTCAAGCTATTTCCACCACAGCCTACCCCGCTCAACAACGTAGTATGTACATGTACATAAGTGAACACACTTGTACAGCCTAGAATCACACACTTTTAACAGAGAGTTGCTATGTCCTGCCATGTCCTTCCCTAAAACTTTCTCCTTCTGCTCATACCAGATCTTAACTACTTACTCCCAAATGACTACCTATTCTCCCCACCAAGGCTCAATCCCCAGCATTCTTTGACCTTGATCCCAAATAAGGCTGGTAGAGCTCCCTTCCCTATCTGAAATACAGTCTACATGGAGTTATATTCCCATTCTCCTGTCCAAGCCCAAGGTTATTTGGGAGGACTCAACTACAAGATATCTTCAGTGAAAAACATTTATCAGTAAATATGCTTACTCCAAGCACAAAATGATTGATTTCCTCAAAAGTAAAATCTGTCTCTGTCCTCATTAAAATCACAGTAGGCTTCAACAGTCTCCATCTAGCCCAAAAAGGTGATTCAGCCTGTGTGGTTTTAGAACGACAGGAGCTATGCAGCTTTTCAAATCTCATCACAGTCAGTGTTCATTTTTAAGTGCTCCTTCCACCAGACCCAAAGCTCTGGCTGCTGAACAAGGGAGCTATCATTTCACTCCAGTGTCTACAGTTCCTGCAACTTTCAAGTTGAACCACAGTTAAGATTTTAATGGGTCACCAATCACAGATGCAGTGAGAAAATATGGGCCAGGCAAAATTCCTGCTTTTTCTTGTAGGAACATACATAAACAAGCCACTTTTCACACAAGCCACAGCAAACTCAGAATATATCAACTACACAGCTTTGTCAGACAAAGAAGTATTAGGCTTAACAATTCAATTAATTTTACACACTCCCCCTTTACTAGTAAAGACACTTGAACCAACACCGGTGCCATGGTGAATCCACTGCACTGAATGACCTCTATCTCATAATCTAAAGTATCTCACTGTACCATTTTTTAAAGAGCAGTTAAGATTTGCCTCCTCTAAGAAATCCTCTGAATACTTCAGTCCTAAGCAATCTCCTTGTTCTCTAAAATCCTATAACATTTCTGTCCTATAATTCTACTGGCACATAGAATACTGTCCTGTATTTGATTTTTTTTTCATGGTACAAATCTACCCCCTACTTTATTCACACTATAGTCAACAGACATAGAGGATAAAGACCGTGTCTCTGAGCACTCTTTGCATGGCCTCTCCTGACCAGTGCAGGGCCACAACCACAGTGGGTCCT